AATTAATTGCCGCAGGATGATGTGAAATTGCTGAAGGATTTAGGACTGGATGTTTTCCGGGTGTCCATTGCTTGGTCACGTGTATTGCCACGTGAGTTACCTCTACAATACTTTGGAAGGGCAAAACTGTCATTTTCAATACACAAATTACTTTAAATTGCTATTATATATATATTTAAAATCTTCAACTAATTATCAATTGTGCATATTAATTATAACTAACTGCTAATTAATTATCAGATGGAAAACTAAGTAGAGGAGTTAACAAAGAAGGGATTGCCTTTTACAACAATGTCATCAATGAACTCCTTGCAAATGGTGAATATATATATATATAATTTATTCAATTAATCTACATATTTATTAAATAATCTATTCAATTAATTTTTTTACTTTAATTTTATTTTATACATTTAATTCTGTAAATTGATTTAATTCATAGGGATAACACCATTTGTGACACTATTCCATTGGGACCTCCCTCAAGCACTAGAGGATGAATATAGAGGTTTCCTAAGTCCTCTAATTGTGTAAGTAAATTAATTAATACCTAAATTAATTATTTAATTTTTTATTTTCTTAATTCGTAACATACATTAATAATTTGCATGCAGTGACGATTTTCTGGATTTCGTGGAACTTTGCTTTAAGAATTTCGGAGACCGTGTTAAGAATTGGATCACATTCAATGAACCGTTTACTTTCACAAACGGGGGCTACGATGGGGGATTCCTCGGGAATCTGGCCCCCGGACGGTGCTCGTCGTGGGGCAATTGCCCCCAGGGCGACGCGGCGAAAGAGCCCTATTTTGTTGCTCATCATATTCTCCTTAGCCATGGTGCAGCTGTTAAATTATACCGAACAAAATACAAGGTATATATATATATATATATATATATATATTATAAAGAAATAAAGAATATTTTTTTCTCTAGAAATTGTTTTTATGAGGTCATAAATAAAAATATTACTGGTTATGTTGTTATATAGGCAGCTCAAAAGGGTCAAATCGGGATAACGATAGTGA